TTGGGGTTAATTGTTTTGAATGGAAGGCCCTACCTCCCTCTGCTCCCCAAAATGCTGTGTATAAAAAAATTTAGAGGGAAATTTCCAGTGACCTATTGCATTGTTTTAACATTACTTTTCCTAGCAAAGGCTGGTTGTCTTGGCAGTCATTCATAACTTTGAAGTCCTTCCTAAGGAAGATAAGGCTCCATCCTCTTTGCATTGGTCCAAAAGAATCAAAATGCAATGGCTAGTGCTAATTCTTGAGAATAACGTTCTGAAATTATTGCAAATAAAGAACTTGCAATGCCTGATGGATGGCAAGATTTACAAGGCCCACATTAAGAAAATCTCATGGATGTTTGTAAGGCCAACTCACTCTGGTCACATATTTCTCTGTAGAGAAGCAAATAAAAAAATATTAGTGCCTCTCAACTGCCTTAATTTTTTTTTCCCAAAGTAATGCTATGTCTCGGATTATTGTTGTTGTTGTTGCTATTGTTATTGTTGTTATTATTAACTCTGATGCTTTACTACATAAAAATGTTGCTAGACATTTATAAAAAGACGACTAAAATATAAAATAAAAAAAATCTAGACTAATATAATAAGAAAGTAGATGTATTACACAGGTAAAAAAAGTCATCCAGGATATTGAAAGCAATTGTGTGCTTGCATCAGGGAGATTAGTTCTGTGTTCTGTTGGAGAACTCACATGACAGTTATGTCAAAATCAAACAAGATATGGGTATTTACTGGCTTTTAACTAGAAATATTTTTCAACCATTTTTTAAAGGAAACGAAAATTGAGATTGATTTCTCCATTTGCTTGTATGTGTATTTTATGTGAACATAGTACTTTTGAAGATAGATGTAATTCAACATGTAGATACATTCAACATTTGAGCTACCTAGAAGGATTCCAATAGAACTTGGAATATTGTACTATTTTTTTCTCCCTTTGCTACTACAGTTAAGTTTTTAGCATTCCTGCATAGGTCATTCAGAGTGAATGTTTTTCATCACAGTTTGAATAGCAGCACACATTTCCTTTGAGCTTAGTAGACAAGTCAAATGGCAGTTTCCATCAGAAACAGTAAGTCCTTGGCCTTCACTTGTACATGTACAAACAACTTGGTGATACTGGCATTCACCAGCAAAGTGAGAAAACCATTTATAAATGAACATAAATGAACATTTATAAATGAACATTAAATTATCTGAGATAGTTTAAGATATAAATTCCCTGTCTTATGTAGAATGGGACTAATAAGTTCATTGTTGAAATGAGTCTTCTCGTTATGGAGTTGCTTCAAACTGACAAAATAGATGCAGATATAGTACTTTTGTGGCATTGAGAAACAAATTTTTGTTTTATATATCTTTACTAAAAGATAGATTATAGAAGACATGTTCAGGAGTAGTCTGCAGTATATACATAAATCGCTAAGTAAAAACTTTTTAGAAAAAGAATTATAATATATTGAGAATCAGATGTGTATTTTCTCCTTTACTTAGTCTATTTGTCATGTAGATATTAATAACTTACTATATTGATATGTCTGCATACGTTTTACAGAGCACAGAGCATTTATGTGTTTTAAGTATAGGCCATAAAGTTTTGTGTTGTAAGGAGTTTTAAAATGTAACTGGGACAGAATATCCTTTCAAAGGGACATAACCAAATGGGGTTAAACTGCAGATATAAACACTGCAATATAGGATATCTGTAGGTGTCTATATGTCAACTCACACAGTTAGTGAAGGTCAGTAAAACTGGTCTAATTCCTACAGCTGGGTGGAATGTGTAAAAAGTAAAAAATCAGTTTTTTACGTGGCAGTGATTCTAGACCATCGTTAACCCTAAATTCCGTTTTATAAAATATTTTTTCTTCTGTCTTTCTATAACTTGTTTTGATTAAAAGTCAAATATAAAGGCCACAGACTAAATACAAGCAATTCCAGTGTTATAAATATCACAGCATAATGAAATGAGGAGGATTACTTTTCTTAGCTGAAGACTAGCAAGAACTGTGCTTTAGTAAGTGAGAATTCCTCTCATTTCCAGTCAAATGTTTCACATTTCCTTGAATTAAGTAGGTTTTGATTTCTCAAACTGATACTACCTGATTAAGTGATAATTTGTAGCTGGGAAGCTTTCAGGAAGTTTCTTGCTGTTTTCAGAGATAAAATGCTCAAATTACACAAATTTATGTGCTTGAGTATTTACCAGACTTTTTATGCATTGTTCATTCTGCATCTGGTTTTGACTTTTAAAAAAATTGTGGTTTTTCACTGTTGGAGGAATAATCTTTGGACTAAAGTAAACCAAGCTGAAGAAGGAAGTCATACCTCAAGTAAGGGGACATAATATTCTCAGCAAATACGACATTATTTAAAACAGTGCATGATGAACTTGGCCCGTTATGTGCAGTCTTCATCTTCCGCTGAAGGAACTGCTGGTGACTGTAGCTGTGAGTTAGACATTGGACTTACAGTAAATGTTGCTGATGTGGCAAATGATCTGATCCTCAGGCAGATTTTGCCAGAGTATGCTCTAGTCTTGCACTTCTGCCCTGAGAATGATGGGTGTCTTTGTCCAGGTGGCCAATATTGTCAGGACAATAAATCGATGTTCTTTCTTCTCTGGCTGGGAGGAAGTGTGGAGGAGGGAAGATGGTCTTCCTTCCAGAGGATATTTGCCTTTGCCATAGTGATAGAAAAAGCTGATGAAAAAAAAAAGGCAAAACAGAAGGGTCAGAAAACTTATGGCAAAGGAAAAAACAATGAGAATATTGTATATGTCAGGACTCTGGTTGCCATTTCGTAAACAACCTTCTTCCTATTTTTGTATATTTTACTTGGATATCCTGTTTCTTTCTTTATCCCTTGTGTGACACTGGGATTCTGTGAAGGACTGAAGCCATAGAAAGTTTTCATCTATGGTTTATTTGTGGAGATTTTCCTGCTAAAATTGAGAAATGTTTAAAGAGTGATAAAAGATGTTACTAAAATGGTAAATGCCAACTTTCTTCCAGGAGAAGAATGGAAAGAAAATCAACAGAAAATAGTGATTTTGACTATATGCATTAGAGATTTACTATTTCATATATTTCATTTGAAACATCTTTGCATTTTGAGATCAGTTTTGACATGATCTTTAAGTTGTGTTGCAAAGCCAACTTCTGCTCTTTAGGTAAAGATACTCTTTCTGATAAAATTTGCAAATTTTTGTACTGTGGCAAAGAGCCTTCTGAGCTACAGCCAAGCTTGGTGCTTCAGCCCTGGGCTGAGTGGTGCAGCATAGCAGGAGCTCATCTATAAAGTATCTAAGAATCATATTCCTCATGACTTCAATTACACCAATCCTTGTTAGCAAAGTCACTTTTTAGCCTTCGAGTCATTCCAGTTTGCAGCAGTAGTAAATGAGATGCTTTCAGTGTTAAGAAAGGTAAGACCTTACACAGCTGAAGAGAACAATGCAATGTCTAATAGTATATCTAGAAGATTCTCTGTTCGAGTCCGTTGGGCTTTAGACTAAGCCAGAATGAAAACTTAAGTAAGAAGGGAGCATGATTAATTTAAGGAAAATTTTAGAGGCAGGTGCCAACAGGCAGCTTTGTAACAGTTGTAGTGCAAAGTCACCAGATGGTGAGGCAGCCAAAACAGGGTGACAGGACTGTGAGATGGCCTGGGAGTAATGCATTAGCAGCAGTTGGCAGGTTGTACAATTCAAAAGTTTGACAGAGTCTCTGTGCAAAATTGGGATGCTCAGAAGAGCTCATTTGATAAAGTTCAGTGGCATTCTAGATTCAGGAATGACTGAGATGATTATTTTGCAGTTGCATGGAGAAAAAGATTTTGCAGTAGTAGTGCAGAGGAGAGGTGTATAAAGCAGCAGAGTTGGTTTTAGATTGGCAGAACAGAGCAGGTGATTCCTGAGTTCTAACTGAACTAGTGTTAGTTAATACTGTGAATTTCTGTTTTTCTGTGTTGTTTAGAATAAGAATTTGAAAGGCTACAAGCTTTAGAAATACATGTCAGTAAATTTGTATTTCCAAAACTCTTAGCTATTTCTTTCCATTTACTCATACGATTTTTCTTGTATTGAATTATGCTCTCAAAAACACAGATTCAGTGCAAAGAGGCCATCTCTCTCTGAGTCCCTGTGTAAGGAACTTGTATGACTTGTGCTTCCGCCATTCTCAAGTTTTTATCTTTTAATCTGCTTTTGGCCAGTTTCAGAGATGAGATTCTGTCTTGAAAAAATTCTGACTGGTTGCAGGTGTTTATATATTCTGATAAAAATCTAAGTTTGGTTTATCAAAGCCTTAGTGGAGTGTCAAAGCCTGGATACATTATCTGTCCATCTCTGCCTCCCTATAACAACTACACTGATGAACACATTCAAACAGGATTTGAATTGTGAAACGCTGGAGATGGGAGTGAGATCTGGAGAACTAGCTGGTGTCTGGCCTACTTTCCATGATTCTTATCAGGATTCAGCGGAATATTGAATTGGCTGGAAAAACCCTCTTCCTCTTGCAAAAGCAGACCTTTATGTCAAAATTTTTGGTGTAGAGTTGCCTTTCTTTTAATATATGATGGAAAAGATAAAAAGCAAAGAGTTCAGAACATAAGGGAGAAAGAGCAGCAGCAGAACTTATGTATGAAAAAGTTTCCTTTTGGTGTAAGAAGGTAAAAAGTGTAACCTCCAATACAAAATATTTAATGTATTTTGTAGTATATGTAAATAAGAATAAGAGAATAAAAATATTCTCTATAATAGTTTTTTCTGCTGTATGTGGTAGCACCCTTTGTTCTTTTATTTCAGCTACTTGATAAGACAAACCAGTTTTACTAAATTATGTGAGATATTGAAGACAACACTATTTAATAACATTTCCAGAATTTTATTTAATATCTATTTCCTGTTTTCCATTTTTTTCCATTGTTTGTTCTTTTATCTATGTACATTATTTACTGTGTTTTGTGGAGCAACTCTTAAGTGATTCCTGGTTTGTCAGGAAAGATTTTAAGTTTTAGCATAAGAACAACTTATGGTGTTTGAAAGCATTTGTTTTACTGTTCTTTCAAATAGCCTCTCATTATGTGAACCGTGGAAATTTAACAAAGAAATTAGTGCCAGGGCTGGCATTCACACATACCTTGAGTAGTAAGTTTCTCAGAGAAGAGCCTGTGGAATTTATTTCTATGTAAAGCACTATTATATTGACAAGAATGGTAGATTTCATTTCTCTTTAACAGCAAGATCTTAAGGCTGCCTCGGGCTCCTGGGTAATTCCTGCATATTCCTATGGGAAGCACAAAGCTGCTGTCACTGTTCCCGAACACTTCTGTGTGTTGTAAACCCAGATGTGACAATACAGCCTATACTTGCTTTCACTCCAGGCTCTTGACATTCCATGTGCTTGAGGGAGCTCTCTGAATAATGTAAACATTTCTCTTTTGAGACACAGGGAGCAATCACAGCCAAGATGAAACTGAAAGCTCTCAGTCCCATATTGTTAGGCTTGTGTTGTGTTTAACCTTCAGTGACCTTAAGGAGTTACCATGAAATTGTTGCAACTGTAAGTTGTTGTGACTTGGTTATCATGAGATTACCAAGAAGTCACAGACGATTTCTTGCTTGGTTTCATGTCCCTATTTCTGCTAATTAGATCATGACAGGATTTCCAGTTATTCACAGTGTTTTGCTTCACAGCTGTGTGCCAGAAGAGTGCTGTTCACAGTCTAATAGATAATTGTGTCTGTCAGTGAAAACACTAACTTGGTTGTCTGAGTTTTTGTTTTAGTTTTCCATCTAAGAAAGCTTCGGAAGGATAAACTGAATCCTAAATGGAGTATCGTACAATACAAGTCCTGACAAAAACAGGTGAATACCATAATATGAAATGCATTCATTGAAATGATGAGTTTTATTTAGAAGAATAAGAAAATAAAAGATCGAGGTAAGTTTAGAGATAATTCACAGAAACAAAACTAACTTGACAAAGAATGTTATGCAGAATCATCAGTTTAGTAATTGCTTTCCCCCGGTTAGTTATGGATTTTTAAACACACTGCTTACTTTTCAACCTTGTGATAAATTTCTGTTCATTCTTGTAATCATTCTGTACTATAGCCTTCTCCTAAAAATTTGTCCTCCTTTATATTAAATTTGCAAACCTTCTAGCAATCTTTAAAAAATAAATTTTATTTATTAATTTTTCAATTAATAAATTGCATATAAAAATAAATTTAAATTAAACATTACAATTAAGAAATACAATATACACGATAAAGGGAAACAATTTTTCTTAAATTATCTTAGGTCCTAAATTGTCGATAGAATATATTTGATAAGTAATGGCACATTTTGTGAAACCATAACCTACAACAGGATCCATATGCTTACCTTAGAGGCAGAATGACAATCTCTTCATGCCACAAAATTTAGTAGAATTAGTACAAGACACCTGAGAGTACAACAAAAGCAAAGTCAGAAGCTAGGTATTGGTACCCTAACAGATAAATCAGTATAATAAGAAGTCATTTATAGGCTGATAGTTTTGTATCAAGCACTTTTTATCCATAGTAATGAATTGCTAGAGTGTATTTCCTTTCAGTGTGAGATAATTGTATTATATTCATTCAAATAATCTAGGAAACTCAGTGTAAGATAATTTACTTAAAATCTTAATGAATTCACCCTCACATGTCTCTAGAAATTCCTATTCCTTCATCCTGTTGGTCTTGCAGGTACCAAGTCACCGTGCTACTTGATATCCTGCATAGAGAAAGATGTTACAGAGGTAAGACTAATCTCAAGCTCATGAGCCTACCAGAACTTAACTGGGTTTGATTCTTGATCCGCAAAAGGATTCAACACTGCATATACAACATTTACATCTTCCTTATCTTTTAGAAACTGCCCAGTGCACAGAATTGTTTTCTTTCCCGTTAGGATGTGCCAGCTTCCAAGTGAACTCCCTCTCAGTAGCTGCATGATCATCTGACTTAGTCAATAGTGATTTCATTCAGCAGAGAGAGAACCTAAGCCAGAACACTGAATAGGCAGAGCATTTGTCTGGAGCTGAGCTTTTGAAAGAGAGGTACCAACATCTGTTCCTCATGGTGTGGAGCTTACTACAGTCAGAAATTCAGTCAAAGCAAAGCAAAACTTATCCAACCAAAAGGGTCATTAAACCATCTGTTACTTATGATTTGGTATTCAGATACAATTCTTGGGAAATTTCGGGAGGGATTCTTGGCTAAGAAGCATTGGAATGTTGGCAGTCAAATATTTCTCATACTAATTCAGCACAGACCTTTGTCCTGCCTGTCAGCAATTTCAAATGTGTCACATTTCTCAAGTTGCCTCTCTTATCACTAGAGAGTAACATGGTCTGTGAGGTGAGGGTGACACAACTATGAAAGTCATTCTTGCTCCATTGTCTATATCAGACTACAAGGACTGGGGCTTTGATGCCTAGCCAAGTAATTGTCGGGGAAGGGGGAATAAATTCCAGTAGCTTGCATCTTTTTTACCCTTGCCTATCTAGAAAAATTCAGCTGCTCATGGTTTTTGTCACCTAGCCACTCCTACTTCGGCATATTCCTTCCATGAAAGTGTCAACAAACGGAGCAGTTAAGATGATACTTAACTGTGTGGGGAAAAAAAGTGAAGAGCAAAAGTCTAAGTAAAGAAACAACATGTTTTTGATTTAAGGTAGAGCACATTTAAGAGATAAAGGAAAGGTGCCAGATCCTTAATAGATTTGCAGCTGGTTTCAAGTGTCACTTCGTTTATCAGTATGTGTACAAACACACAATCATACACAGATACTGCAAAATGCTTTCTCTTGGATACTTGTCATTTTGGCTTGATGGAAGTAAAAATCGGTTCATTCCCTTTTGTTTCTATTTGGAGGGTCATTTTCTTTAGAACTTTCAGTCCACTTCCAGAGAGAGAAAAATTACAATATCTAGATAAAAGAAAGATTTCTTTATGTGTCTTTAAAAAAAGTGAACAAAATAATGATTTTGTACAATCCTTGTAATTCATACCGATATGGAAGATTTAAAAATTATGAATCTTGAATCATGCAGTGTTAAGTAATTTAATTTCTTTCTGATATCTGTGTAATATTTCTACCTGTTACTGAGCCAATCCACCTTAGGAGTACAACGATAACATTTCTATAATACAAGGCAGCAAAAATAGTATCTATAGAGCTGAACGTGGTTCTTCAGAATATGAACAAGTGTAAGAGAAAAAAGAATGTATTCTCATAGACAAGTTGAAGGATAATCAATTAGTAGCAGCGCAGTTATCAGTAGGATTCTCCTGCCTAGGAGAATCCAAGTTCTACATTCTTCCAGGTGAAATTGTCTGTTACAGACCTTGCTCTCATCATTCCCCTTTGTCTTTCTTGGTCCATAGGGACATACATGTACCTCATGACTGAAGAACAGGAAGGAGATGGGAAATAGGGACGTGACTGATCCACAGGTGCATTGGAGAGTGACTGCTGGTGAGTAATAACAAAGCTCGTTCAAATAGTTCTCCACCCCTGTCTTGATAAACTTATTTTGATCCTGTGAAATACTTGCCTTAATGAGGTACACAACAATATTTAGTGGTATTGGAATTTCATGTAGAATGTTGAGGGAATTTATTAACTTGGTCATATTCCTTCTTAAATGTTTTCATCTGACTTTATCTTGCCATATCCTAGGTTCTAGCCAGCATCTGCACTTTGACCCATCTACACTTTGTCCCACTCTTTTACTCTGACCATTTTGAATTAGTTTTGTCTGAAAAAGGTATAGCTCCAGTGAGAACAAATGATTTTGATACGTATTTGTGTATTTGGATGAAAATAAAAGTAGATCTGAACTCTTACTTCAAAATTCCCAAAGAAATTTTGAGTGCTCCAAGGCTTGTATTTGAATTTGAGTACAATGGATAATATTTCAAGAGGGAAACTTTTTTTTTACCTATGTCACTATGAAGACAATAGGAGCTCAGCTATCGAAAATAATGAAGTTTGACGTGCAGTACAGTACTTGGCACTTTAAGTATGTGGATTTAAAGGCTATTCAACAGTTTCATTTTTAGATTCAGCACCACTAAAATCATACTTTCTTTTTTTTAGAAATAGAATTTGGAATTTCCACAGCTTGTTTTTTGCCAGCAACAATAGACTATAAAAAGTAGGGACTTTTTTCTCTGGTGGCTTCTATTTATTAGTAGATGAACTTTTGGTTCTTTCTGTAAAGTGAAATGGACAATGCATCTGAATAGAAGAGAATAAGAAATTAGCTGTTTTGTAGTCTGTGCAAGTTATCATACTTCTTTATTATTTTATCTGGCACCTTTGTGGATTCTGGATGCCTTCAGACTCACCAAACAGGAAGTGTCATAGCTGGGAAGCTGGTGCCTGAGAAAGATAATGAGGAAGTAGATGCATTTATTTTTATATACAGTATTTAAGAAATTCCAGAAAAGGGAAAGAAGCAGATGATAAAACTTTCTTAAGATGTTTCTTTTTTTTTTTTTTTCCTTTTTGCAATAGATGACAAGTTAGATGTGGAGTACAATTGTAAGGTGTGATGTGGGTTACAGGGTAATGTGTTGGTGTTCTTTTTGTAGTTAGGTACAAAGTTACAATTCCTGAAACAGACACAACCCTTTAAATAGATCTGCATGTAGATCTCATCCTTCCCAGCCGGAGATGAAAATTATAGGGAGTCAGTGATGCTTTCCTCCCCCTCTTGGGGCTATACTGAGGTTGTATTATTGTCAGGTGATGAGAAAGCAGGTGGAGGGAATCAGGAGAAGCAAAGGGTCAAGAAGTTCTGGGAACCAAAAAGCCAGTAGGCACTGAGGAAGGAGACAGTGTATAACCCAAATAGCAGGCTGCTGAGGTTGCTGAGAACTGAAAATTTAGAGACTGGCAGATCGTTACCTGCTATATTAGCCATATAGTCAGCAGTATTCATATATATCCTCCAGGTTCATGTTTTTTCTATTACTTCATCAAGATTTGACCATATTAAAGGTATTACCTTGGATGTGGTGCCTGAAGAGCATTCCTTCTTTGCTGAGGCATGTCTGTTTTCCCTCTGAGAATAGTTCTCATTTGAGTTACAGCACATTGCTCTGGCTCTTGTCCTTTAGGCATGATCATACTGTAGACACTGTGAGTGGGGTGGAAGCTCTTCATCCCAGCTGCTTCCATAAAGCATCAGAAACTCTGGAAGAGGCTTGCTTTACTAAGGCACCCAGTGTGCATCCCAAGGATATCTTTCCTGAGATGTGTGAGGGACCTAAGTATAAACTTGCTGTAATACCTCTGTGATACGAGGCTGAAGAACTGTTAAGTCAGACTTTGCTGCATCCTCTCACCTGAGTGTCAAGCCTTCCACAGAAGAATTCTGTGGAATATATATACATATATATATATTCTGTGGAATATAATATATTGGATATGTTTCTGTGTTGGGATCCTGTACAAAGGCTGTAATTCCAGTACTGAGTATTTTTAGGAGAAATCCCAAATGGTAGCTCTAGATGCAGATACAGGAGTGAAATGCCATGAAGCATTTTGTTGCTGACGCAGGAAACAGAATGTCAAATTAGATGAATCTCCTTCTACCTTCTTTTTTCTTAAATTTCCTCTGCCAAAAGGATTAGCCCTCCTCACTGTAGGTCCTTGGCCATAAATCACAAAACCAGTGGTGAAGGTTTTAAGACCTCAAATTCTGCAAGAGGTTTTGCCTTTCAGCTTTCCCCTGATAGCCTCCTGGAGACAGGGCAGTACATTAAAAATGCAGGAAGAGGATTATAAATGTTGGATAAGTAACACATTGGATAATGTGCATTTTGTTCAAATAATTCATTAAGACATCAAGAACTCCCTATCTCTTTTGTCAAGAGGAAACTAGTAAGTACATCATATAGGTATTTAACAGGATTGTAGAAGTGTGAGTTAAAGCAAATACTTAGCACAGTTCTGAAACAGTTTCTTTTCTTACATTCCGGAAAAGTCTGATGTAAGTTTGTTTCCCGAAGGACATTTGTGTATTCTGATGCCAGGCCAAAAATTATGTGTTCGGTATTTCCAGACTCCCTTCTGAGACACACAATTGTTTTGTCTTTGTCCATCAAAGCCTGAGAAAAGTCTCTTTTGATTAATAGATGTATTGGAAAACATATATTTATGTCCCAGTGCGTAATTCTTTTAATCTTTTTTGCCTTTAGTGATATTCTTGTAATATTTGTTTCATTCCAGACTTCATTACGCTCTGCGTGTGTCAAGATTTTTTCCAGTTGATCCTATAATACTTATCTCACTGTGGATGTGGATGCATCCTCTGTTTTTATCCCCAGCATCCTCCTCTGTGCTGTTTGAATAAAAACCTAGATTATTTGAACTCTTGAGGTAAACTGCTAAAACTTGTCAGCTGATCTCTGTTTGTTTTCAGACAGTACAGACAGTTCTAAAAACAAGCAAACTTGGTACCCATTTCCCTATTTAGAGGTTGATGCTGAGACTAGTAGGAGTAACAGTAAAGTACATATTCTTTTTAAAATATATAGGAAGCTCACATTTGAAGTTGGGTGAAGAGCAAATTTTAAGAATTTTTTTAATTTTGTGGCAGATCTGTACTTTCTTTAATAATATTTGTTGGCTAACTCTGCTCTTACCTATGCTGTCTGAGTTAACTTTGTCTGATCACCCGGTATAGTAGTCCCTCTGGTAAGGATCCAACTGCACTAAAGTTAATGGCAGCTGTCCAGTTTAATCTGCTGAGAGCTGAATCAGAGTTATTTCCTATTTCATGTTATCTGATGAAGGACTTAATTAAAATTTTTCCAGCATGCGGATATGGCCTCCTATGTTCATATCTTTGTTTAGAAACTGATTTCCCAGAAACAAGGAAATTTTGCCCTTTCTTCTTCAGCTTAGCTTATGACTATTTAAGCAGTCCAAGCAGAAGAGTTTCATTTCTTGCTTCTCTCTGCCTGTGATTTTAAAGTATTTATTTGCAACTTAACTGAGAGAGTGCTTTTCTTCAACAAAACCATTTTCTGTGAAATCAAATAAAATTCTGTAAATGTATTGTTATCTATTCTGGATAGATTTTGGATTTTTGTATTTGATAGCATTACTTTCAGAACAGTATTCTGCTTTCATTTCCTACGACTTCTGAGATTTTTTTTATTCTTCCTCCTTCTCTAACAAAGAAAAAGTGATGATGGTGATAATAAAAATAAAATATTATGGTAAAAGCTACTGTGACATTTTCATTGAATTTGGTTAGGCATTGCTAGATGCTTCAGATTTCCCTGTCTTATTGTCTACTGGGTAATTGGGTTTTCTTGGGGTGTTTTGTTCATTTATTATTATTTACTATTATTTTGAAGACATCCTTTCTGGCTGAGATCACAATTTTATCTTTCCACTATCATTAATTCCCTTTCATATTTGTGAGTTTATGATAAGCGAGGTAAAAAGTGGTTGATGCTTCCCATTTTAACCAGTGCAGCTTGTGCTGTCCAGCTGTCCTTTGATGAGGACGCAAAGGTATGGCTGGCTGCAGTTAGGTGAAAAACAACAAAAAATAGTGCCTGAAGAAGTTGTGGTGACTGTAGGCCAGCAGGACCCTTACATCCTGTGGTACAACTCTCACCTGAACAGGGTATTTTGGAACTAGCATTAGGTTATTAACCATATAAAATCTGCTTGACTTAAAACATATATTGATGTAGTCCCAACTTTTCAGCAGATAGATTTCTTTAACGTTTACAATGTTGTCACTTCAGCCCTTATTTTTCCAAGTTATCACTCACTTACTAGATATTTGAATCTGTGCTGTTTATAAAATGTGCTATGTGATTACAGTATTTCACAGACATCAAATGTCCAAACTGTTACATACCAAAAGATTTACCAGAGACATTCTGAAAACACACGTTTTGTTCTGAATTTCTTGCTGCTTTTGTTTAGTGATTCATAACTGACCAGTATAGAATCATAGAATCCTTTATGTTGGAAGAGACCTCTTTTAACCCTGCACTGCCATGTTTACCGCTAAACCATATTGCCAGGTGCCACATCCAGACATTTCTGAACACTTCCAGGGATGGTCATTCCACCACTTTCCTAGGCAGTCTATTCCAATGCCTAACCACCCTTCAGTGAAGAATTTTTTCCTAATATATAATCTAAACCTTGCCTGGTGCAATTTGAGGCCCTTTCCTCTCGTCATTCCAGCATCTCAGTGTCTTTCTTGAAGTGAGAGGCCCAAAACTGGTGTGGCCTCCCCAGTGCCAAGCAGAGGGGGATGGGCACCGCCCTGGTCCTGCTGGCCACACTATTTCTGATCCAGGCCAGGATACCATTGGCTGTTTTGGCCACCTGGGCACGCTGCCGACTCATGTTCAGCCACTGTCAACCAGCACCCCCCAGGTCTTTTTCCCCAGAGCTGCTTCCCAGCCACCCTTTCCCCAGCTTGTAGTGTAGCCTGGGGTTGTAGTGACCCAAGTGCAGGACCCAGCACTTGCCTTGTTGAACCTCATACAATTGGCTTCATCCCGCTGATCCAGCCTGTCCGGATCGCTCTGCAGTGCCTGAATTACGTAAGTAGTTGAATACATAAACAACTGAGATGTAGAAACCTTTGTCCATTCTTTGCATTGATAGCAATTTTCCAGCTGAAAATTAAACACTGAAAATGTTAGTTTACTTTTTTCATAACATTGTTGCTATATTAGGCAGTAAAAGTTGTCCTCAGAAATATTCCAGACTGGCTTTGAATACCCATTGGAAACCAAATACTGAAAATAATCCCCAAGCTCTTCTATAACTGCTACACTTCACTTATATATAAACAGGACATAAGAGATCTGAGAGGCATATCAGTAATGGACATTTTTAAATGGAATTGGGATTATTAGTTCATTTTGAATAGTATGAGCCTGTTTCAGGCTGATTAAGTCAGATCTCTGGACTTCTGTTATCTGACTTATTTCTTCATGTTTAGGGATCAAAATTATTTAGGAACAAGTAACATCACCTCAACTGGTAGCACAGTTTTCAAAGGGAGTACTTTGAAATCCTATTTACAGCATAATGCTCTTTACAGAGCTGAGCATTGTTAAAAGTGTTCTCAAGATTCAGACCTACACAAATATTTTCACTGAAAACAAAACTGAATAACTTTTACGTCTGAGATAAAGTGCCATTCAATTACTTGGAATCACCCACATACTTCCATTTTATCAGCTGTTTGCAGGATCAGATCTTGACTTGATCTTTCAAAGTGTAGTATGCACTATATTTACAAATGTTAATGTTTATTATTTTCCTGGCCTTTCACAAAGCAGCAGAGGGCGCTGAGCCAACCGGCACAGCCCGATATGGGTCTTTTCCTCCCTGCTCTGGATTTCCCTGTCCGGGGATTTCCCACTCCAGCTGGAGGAGAGCCTTTATAAAGAGCATGCTAGAGCTCTTCTAATAAACTGTTGCAGAGCAGCAAGATCTCACTGTGCTTCTTCACAGAAAATAGAAAGCAAAAGTTTTGAATTTACTTTCTTTACCTGGTAACAGCAATTACAAATGTTGAAACAAATGGGAAGAACAAGCCAGGCTGTGCTAGTAATTTTTTATGTGCTAAGGACTGGTAAGTTGGGGAGAGGGGTTGCTTGTTTTATTTGGTTTTGGTTTTTTTTAAGCATAAATTGACCTAAAATTTACTGTTTGATCTTTATTTCTCTTTGTTCCAGTTACTTTTTCATTTCAGTGAATACAACTGTCAATTAAGTAGTTCTGTCAAAATGTCAGGAACCTTTTTTTGACCCTTATTTTGAGCTTTTCTGTGCTCTCCAAAGACACAATCATTTTCTTACTGAGTTTGCTAAAAGACAGTCTAGGAGACAACTGCAGTGTGTCACTGAATGTTTGATTTTTACTGTTGTTCCTGACAGTATTGGTGACGTTTGGTACTAAATGTCCTGTTGAAAGTGTTTCTAAAGTTGTCCTTGCTATCTTACTGTCTCCCCTCAAATGTTACAAGGTTTTAGAACCAGATTCACCTGACAAAAAAAATGTTATACTGTGCCAATGCATTGGGTTTATGCCATTTTATACATGAGAACTGTTTTTTAGTCATCTGAGTCTGTATTACCTTTGACAAAATAACAATGCCTATGGTGTATTTTGGAGATGTAAACCACTGTACGAGTTTTTTTAGTTTAACTTCCATGTATCTATAAAGTAAATTTGAAACATAAAGACCTTATATCAGTAGAAGATGAGAAGAAATAGAAAAATAAATGTTGAGAAAGCTGCTGAATTTGTGTATTTTCTCCCTATTATAGTTAAAGCTTTTGAAATGGAGATTATACCTGCTAATAAAATTGTTGCCCAGATTGGAGAAACACTCGTACTCACATGCAATACTACTGGCTGTGCATCACCAAGTTTTTCCTGGAGAACACAAATGGACAACCCCCTTGGAGGAACAGTGAACAACCATGGGACATACTCTACCTTGACTATGAATCCAGTTAGTGTTGTGAATTCTCATGATTATCTGTGTACTGTCTTCTGTGATAAGAAAGGGAAAAAAGAGAAGAGTGTCAAAGTTGAACTTTACTGTAAGTAAAAGTAAAATTCTCTGTAAGTAGTGCATGATTATAAAAAATCCATAATTGTGGTTGGTAGTTAACTTGTAATTTAGGATAATGAGTTTGCTATAGCTCAACATGTATTTCCTTGTAAGATTCCTTTATCTGTCTGTGAAGGACACTTTCTTAGCCTTTTTCTGCTTAGCTTTCTGCACTGAGCTTAGTAGGGACTAATCTTAGTTATTCCTATTCTTGGCTCCCTGAATACAGTCACAGAGCTGGGGGAAAAAAATCAAAGCCTTTGTAGTTCTCAGGGGAATGATTCAGATGTCTAAACCCACCAGCAGAGAAAACAGGATACCACCAGTGCATGAATTGCTCTGAGTACCTGTGTTTAGGCAGCTGTATCACTGCCAAGGTGCCTTGCTGGATCTTACTCGATTTTTTGCAATCATATTTCAGAAATTGTACAAATAAAAGACCTGTATGTCTTCAGATCAAGATAGGTCTTGTAATAAAGTTGATATAATGTCATGTTCTGAACACCTCTAAATTCAAGATGTTTGCTATCTGGATCTTGCTCTCATCTTGACTCTACTATTAATCTCTGCTAGTCTAAAGAAACTGATTTTATTATTCTTTTAGCTTTCCCCAGTGATCCTGTCATTGAGATCAGCCCATCCTCAGTTGCTGGAGGAACAGTCACTGTCATCTGTAAAATTCCTGATGTGTATCCTTCTGAGCACCTGGAGCTAATCCTAATGAAAGAGGAACATGTTCTTCACGAAAAACATTTTTATGGAGATGACAGCACAAATACAGAGACCAAAACCGTGACATATTCATTTATTCCCATGGCTGAAGATATTGGGAAAGAGATTACCTGTGTGGCCAAGTTACCAGTTCCTTATATGGACTTTAAACCCAAAGAAAGAGTATCTTCTCAGAAACTGAATGCAAATTGTAAGTATTAGGACTTTCACACAAAGTATGTCAGGTTCCATGGAATGGCTTTACAAAGTGTGTACTATAAATAATTTGTAATCTGCACTTCTTATCTGATTTATTTGTGTAGATAATCTATTGTATTAATTTGAATTCTATTGTATTCAGTAGCAGTCACTGAGTCACTGTTGTTCATGACAGAAGTTAGGCAGTGCTTAAGCAACTCCTTTCATTCTTTTACCTCAGGCACTGGTACTCGGTCAGAAAGTAAAGATCAGAAGAAAAATGGCATCATGCAAATAAAAAAATGTTTTTAAAATTGGAATTGTATGCCTAGGAATTCCAAGTTTATAGTTATAAACAATAAGGAGATTAAAAAAAAAGAGTAAAAAAAATTGTACACATTTTGTCTAGCTTAGCTTTCAAAGCTGCAAGCAAAATGTCTTATTAAGTCTGGAAAAATTGTTCCACTGTGTTACTGGGATACACATTAATAATTTTTTCTTGGTATTCTGTGAAATGTACCTCTAGAGAAGCTAGTCTTAAAGATGTGCTTGTCATTCTTCATTTACTACTGATCTTGTCTTTCTTTTGTTCTCTCACAGTTGGTCCACAAAATACTATCATTACTGCGTCTCCAGGCAACTCACCAATGGAGGGAGACTCTCTAAAACTCACTTGTGCGACTGAGAGCAACCCACCACCACAAATAGTTTGGAGAAAACATTTGGCTGATGAAAGCATTCAGCATCTGATAAAAAACAATGTCCTTTCTATTCCCCATGCCCATTTCAGTGATTCAGGACTGTACATCTGTGAAGTAATTAATCTGGTAACTAATAGAACAGAGACTGCAACTGTGGACATTGTTATACAAGGTACAAGTCTGCTTGAATTTAACTTGTATTAACTCATACTTAACTGGCAGCTGCTTGTTAGGTTGAAGGATGCTAAAACACTAAAAATTAGGAAATTATGGAGTGCTCCTTGTTATATATTCAGGATTTAGCTTCAATTTATGACTGCTCTTTTTGGGCTGTACTTTATCTTTCTATGCTTAATTTTCAATAGCTAATTCTGCCTGTACTGTTGTATATGCATACCTCTGTACATTTCCCACAATGCAACATTCAAAGTCATAAAAGAATCTAAGAAAGTGGTGAGGGGACACACACTGTTATTTCCTTGAAATATAATATACATAGTGATTTCACAGGAACATCACATTCTCCTTCTTTTAACTAGTTTTAGTCATTAGTAATGAATTTAGTAGTCATTTAATGGTAGAACTATTTTGTTTTTATTATTATTTTTATTGATTGCCGCTGTTTCAACAGAGTCAAAAGTCTCAGATAGAGTCTGGGATCAAAACCAAAATTAATAGATCCTTGGGCAAGCAATTCCTACTGTCTTAAAACCTTCTGCATCTTAAATACTTTTACATTAGTATAACATCCTTTTATTTTGTCATGCAGGTGCTCCAGTCATTACAGAGCTCTCCATTGAGCCTTCTACAACAGTTCAAGAAGGAGAAAATGTTTCCATACAATGTTCTGCTGAGAGTAACCCTCCTCCCAAGATTATTTTAAGGAGAAAATCTGACAGTGCAGACATGGAGCCTTTCAGTGCAGGGAGCATTCTCCTTCTTCCATCTGTGATGTTCCTAAATGGAGGAGGCTATGAATGTGTAGCAGAAAATAAATTTGGGAACAGTAAAAGTGAAATAACACTTAATGTGGAATGTAAGTATATGTAAAGCTTTCCCAGTCATTTAAAAATAATTAATTGAATCTTCTGTGATAAATATAGCTATCAAATTAAACAAAACCCTGTGAGTACAAAAAAAATCAGCTTGGTCCATTGCTCTTCCCAAAGAAAGGAGCAGTGCTGATGAACAAAACAAAGTCATGAAATCTTTAATGTAATGACAGTCTTAAGTCAGAATCTGAATGAGTGAGAAATTGGTCTACCTTCTTAACAGTCTTGGTTAGAGTACTTGGTTAGTGTGTTTAGGCTATGGAGGGTTTGTATGGAAACTCTGATACTGTGTGCTTTTCTTTTTCTGAGAATGAAAAAGAAATTAACTTTGGGAGGCTGACAATCTACCATCCAGTAGGACATGTTGGATCCTTCTCTGAAAAATCCAATCATGATTAACTATAGGACTCTTCATTTCAGATGGACCAAAGAATACAATGATCTCTGTTACCCCTGCTACTGCTGTTAAAGAAGGAGAAACTGTGGTGATGAAATGTACTAGTTCTGGCAATCCATCTCCTGTGATCTCTTGGAAGAAAAAGAAAGCCACTGGGGAGTTTGAGAAAATTTTTAAAAATGCAACTTTAACTATACAGAACTTGAAAAGTCAAGATCTGGGGCTTTACGAATGTGAAGCTTATAACCAACTTGGCAAGGAAGAAAAAGCTGTGAAATTATTTGTTCAAGGTTTGTAGAACAAGATGGAAAACAAATTTTTTATTTTATGTATTTTAGGTCCAGATCTCCTTCTATGAAGAATGGGGTGGTTCTGTCTTTGATGTCAATGGAGTTTAAATGTGTCCTTAATGTCATTAAGTCATTTAGGCAGCTTTAAACAAAAGTCATTTAGGCAGTTTTAAACAGTGAAGTGTGAAATCTGCCTTAGTACAGATAGCTTATGAAAACTTCTTATGTCAGTTGAGCTTTCACCACTCCTTCCAATTGCCAAATGTATGCATCAGGTAAAGAAGGTGTGTAGTGCCTGTATTTTCTTCCAAATAGGTCTCAGGGTATATCTGCATACAAAAGATTCAAAGAGAAAGTACATGCTGAAACTTAACTGTGGAAGCACTGTATTACAGCTCCCTGGCTCTCCTCTGAGTTCAGCTCTGTGTCCTGTTCTTTCAGGCTGCCTTTAAGCCATAACAAATGCTGATTCCTCAACTGACCTGCAATGGTAGCAAAGTTCCATTTTCAGTAGTCAGCAGGCTTCTCTACTTTAGCCCTGCCACTTCTGTCTATTGCATAGCAACAGTGTATTACTTAGGTATCACTTCTGCCACTAATCCAGCTCTCTCCCCTATTCTTTACTATTTTTGTAGCTGCACCAAAAAATACGCTTTTGATTTCCACTTCAAGTGCAGTGATACAAGAGGAAAGTGTTACCATTCCTTGCATATTTTTGGATGTTACATCTGTTCAGAGTACTCTGTAAAAGAAAAATAGATGATGGGTTCAAAACCTTGAAACAGTAGATGGCAAATATACCACAGACAGGGCTCAGCTAAAGGGTGCAGGAAAATACACATGCATACCATTAATGAGCTGGGAGAGCAATCTCAACACTGCCAAAGGTTACTTAAAATAACTGCTATACTGAGTTAATATTAGGATTTGTTTTAGACAGACAGATTGACATCTTCAGTTTCATTAAGAATGAATTGTCTTTAAACAAACTGAGATGAGTTGCACAGGTTCTTGTTTTAAGTGGTAGGGTTTTGGTGCTAATGAAAACTTCTGTCCAAAATGGCAGATGAACAAAATAATTGCTGCTTCAAAATTTTTCATAGTTCCACTTCCACCTTTGAAAACAGGATGCAAAATTGCAGAACCTAGTGGAAAAAAATACAATTCTAGGATCTTTCCTTTGCCTTTTCTGTTTCTCTTATGTTGAAAGAGGACATCGACTTCTGTGTATGTTGGTCTGTGTCCTTTCATGAACTCAAATAAACAGTGAATTTAAAATAAGAAAAGAAGAAAAGGCTCCATATAATGTAAAAGATATCTATCACTTGATAAAATGTTCTTTCTGTTGGTTTCAGTGTGTGAAGGATAGCTAGTGGCAGAGTAGTGTCTAAAGCTACGTGCTCGACTATTATAGTGGGTCCATTAACTGAATTAGTACTTCGTGTGTAAAAGCTGCTGATACCTCAGGAGTTTTCACTTCTGTTTGTTGCTAAATCCTACCTTGCATTTCTTTTCAGTTCCTCCCCGAAATATTACTGTGTTAGTATATCCATCAGAAAATGTTAAAGGAGGAGAAAATATCACTATTACGTGTAGCACATACAGTAACACACCATCAGAGATGGGCCTGAAAAAAGTCCATCAGGAGAAATTATTCTGCCATCAGTGAATGGAGCCTTTTTACTCTACAATGTCAACAAAAATTATATAGGCATATATTTGCTTCATGTTTTCAGTAAGGTTGAAAACATCACAGTGATTGAGGTAGCTGTTGTAGGTAGGTAGATCTATTGCCTTAAACATATTTTGTTTGTACTTTCTAGTAAATTTTGTGTCAAGGTGAGCACAACTAGTTCATGGCTGATCCTTGCACAACAGTACTGCAGTTAACCTAAAAAAACCCCACCCCAAATCAACCCAAACAATAGAACACCTGGTGAGAATAAGCTGTATTTAGCCTCCTTTCTGTGTGGATGTTACTTTCTCTCTAACCCGAATAGGTGCAGTAGCTTTAAGGGTAGGGACAGAAAAAGGTGAATCCTGGCTGCACTTCTGTCCACATGCATGAACAGTGAGACTAATCCAGACAAAGTTCAGTTACAAAAATATCTAAAGAGTGGGCTTTTTAAACATGGTCTTGAAGCATTGATTCCAGGAGGTTGAAACATAACAAAATGTTTCCTGGGTAAAACATGTGGTATTCCTCTGGTATTCTTCATTAATTTTATGGTATTCTTCATTGTAGATGGTATCAGGTGGGTTTGAGTGGCTAGGAATTAAAGTGTGTAATATGAAGTTAATAAAAAAAAACACGAAAGGAAAATGTTTTGAAATGTGATTTGTGCATGAAAACAGAAATAGCATTCCAAACCCTGCCTGTACAGTGATTTGCACATATCTGTTTCAGTCAGTTTTTACACAACTTTTTTCTCCTTTTGTTTCCATTTTCAGCAAGATTGGAAAACCCAGATCAGATGTTACCACTGATCATTGCATTCTCCTCTGTAGCAGCGGTAGCAGTACCTGTAGTTGCAATTTTGATCTACGTGTCAAGAAAAGCAAAGATAAATGGATCCTACAGTCTTGTAAAAGCACTCAGGTTGAAAGTGTGATCACATGAATATAAGTCTTTAGTTGATATTAAGCAAATTTATTTATTGTTGTGACTGGTTCTACTCTTCTGGTAACAAACAAGTGACTTAAGAACAGTGCCATGTGATAGCAAATGGCTTTTTTTCATGTTTTGATAAGTGTTTTGGTATTCAAATTAAAGGAAAAGCTAGCATCCTCTCCTAGAAATTGGTAAATCACTTCTGTGTTGAAGCATGCTGGACAAAGAGTTCTGTGGAGAAACAAGTTTGTACATAGTGTATAATTTATGTTATAAATATGTTCAACTAAATATCAGTTTGTAAAATTGCAGTCTTATGTACAGAGAAATTTTGTTAATTCAAAGATATAAATCGTCATTGCTTGATATTTTATTTTGTATTACTCTGCAGCATGAATGTTTTTAATATCATTTGTCTGCTTGTGTTTGGAAAATGTTCTGGTTTCACTGATATTGCCATAAATCCTGTACCTTCAATGAAGTTACACAATCACTGGGCTATGCATTTCTAATTTATTTAAATTAATTTAAGATCTTGAGGCTCATTTGTGAAACATTTTATTTTAAATATTACTCAAAAAGTATCTGGGATTATAGTCTAGTTAGTTCTAGGACCGGTGAGATGTTTTTGTAGGCTTTAATCATTCTCAAATCAATGTCAGGGTTCTGTTATTTCGTGACAAGCCAAATCAGACCTTTCATGTAAAATATAAGCTGACGATAAATATGCTTTACAGATTTCCACTGCAAAATAAAACTGCCAGTAGATTTCTTTGACTAAATCCCCCTAGTGATGCTTGCTTTAGGTTATGTCAGAATATACATTAGTGTGGAAGGAACCAGTGAAACTTATCCTTAGCAATAGCAGATTTGAGTGTCATGGGAAGCCTTGGCTGTAAAGGCAGAAGCCAGGCCAGCAGCAATCAAAAGGCATAGGCAAGGGGAACAGGCAAAATCTGTGCAGCCTCGGCAGTGGTGGTTGTGTTGTGTCCTGAAGAAATACTTTTCCCAAGCTTATCACTGTGGAAATCTAAACCTTTTTGCTGTCAACTTGTCTTTTGATGGAGAACCAGTGTCTGCATTCTTCACCCTGGTTAGTGCCTTTTTCACTGCATGCTTTCCAGTGTTGGCAAAGTGGCTGTGAAAATAGTGGACTTTGTGTGCAGGGGCAAAGGTGGAGTTTGATAGTATTCTTCCTTACAGCCCTTCTCCTCACTAGCAGTGGTGCTTTGACTCATCTGGGTGTTGATGTTCAGCACTGAAAGCAAGGTTGTGGGAGATGCAGGCTCTGTGGCTGAGAGTTGAAGTGCATCTTGATCCACTGTGCCCCGATCCACTTGCTAGGCATGGGAAGGTGGGCTTAGACCCACCAAACTTGCATACAGAAGGTAAAGCAGAGGTATGTGAAAAGAATATGCCTTTACATTATACACAGTGTAACAACTGCTCCCAACAGCAATGCAAATGCAGATGCCTCTTGGTAGCTGCTCTGGGGGGAGGCAATGGTGCACATCTCCCATATCTTTTTCCTAGCATGTTCAGTAGTGTTTTGTGCACAATAAATCAGTGCATGCAGGATATCTATCTAGACTGGAAAGGGTGGCTTGGAAAGTGGGAGTGTAGCAGAAAAATGGGAGAGCAGTGTGGACTTGGCTTGGAGGAATGTGAGCATGCAGTAGGAGGGTGAAGAAAAGATTGAAGACAGAGGAGGAGGAGAGCTTTGACAGGCCCATGACACAAATTTCTTGGAGGTGGTGCCAAGCATATTTATTCAGAATAATGTCAGGCCTGTCTCAGTGCTGTCTTGTGAATAAACCAGAAAGCATGATTTTTTTCCACTGTGCAAAACTTTGGTGCACACACGTTTTGCCTACTGGGTATGGTTCTGGTGTCTGTATTGTGGGAAGGACAGTTAGAAAAGATACAGAGAAGGAGGACTTGAAAACAGTAAAAATGAAATGCCTGGGACTTTCCAGTTTGGAGAGAGAATCTGAAGGAGGAGGGGATGTGACTGATGTTTTCCAAATTGTGAAGGCAGATGATAGCAAACAACAGATGCAGAACTGCTGTTTGCTAAATCATGCAATGCCAGAATTGCAAGACACACCAACTAAGGAGAAAGTAGTTTAATAAAAATAATAGAATAGTACTTCTTTACAGAGTGAATGGTGAACTGCTGGAAGCTGCTGCAGAGAGTTCTGGGGCATAACAATATCAACTGGTTCAAAAGAGGAATGGAAAAAATAATGGGCTAATGGTCCATAAACAAATACTAAAGGGAGTAGGCAGAAATATACTGTATAACATCCCTAATTCAATGGCCATTGATGCTGAGCAATCCTCAGGATATATACTGCAGAAAGTGGCCAGGTTTGTATGATGTCCTGAAATAGTGTCTTCCACTGTTGGAGACCTACTGCAGTAGCTTAATCACTGGTGAGGCCCAGTAAGGTCTGCCTTGCCTTCTTACACCCTCTCTGAGCAGACCTGGGACAAACCTATTTGTAGAAGGAGCATAGAAGTTCCTGTGCTGTTTTCTCCTCTCTTGTGATCCCTTAGGACTAAAAAGAGGAAAGATGAGTGGGAGAGAAATAGGAGTCATCTTGCAACAATTGCTTTGGTGCTTGTGTAGTCTTTACTGGAAATTCCTCCACAAGTTCCCAGTATCCTTTCAGCTCTTGGTTTCACCATATTTCTGATACAGATACAGCCCTTAGTGTCCACATGGGCTGGTCCACCCTCTCAGGGTCTCCATTAAGGTATTAAATAATTTAAGTCAATAGGAGTTGGCCTGTGATTTCAACAGGGCCAGTTCTTCACCCAGAAACACTAAGTGAATAGATTGAGCTTATAGTGCTCATTTTAGGAGAGGCTGCTCTTGTGTGGGCAGCAAGCTTCCTCTCAGTGAAATCACAAAGAAGGATCTTGACAGGGGATCTCCTCCCCTGCTGCCTGATTCTCGGTATTTTCCAGGACACTTAACGATTTGGGTAGAAGCTTGTCCTGTGGAGGTTAAAAGTTCACAGTCAAATAACTTCTCTTATTGAAAATTACAGAAGGAATATTACTTCTCCTAGCACAATTTCTCATCAAGCAGTTTGCAGAGCCTCTGTCCTGACAAAAAGTCACGAACAGCAACTCCAGCCCAGGAAGTGCTTTCAGAACTAGGTAAGAGTCCCTACCACAGGGCCTGTCTTTATGACCAAGAAAGTGGTCTGTAGAGCAAAGGGCTCTCTACAAAGTCATATGAAAAGGGGAGTTTTTCTTGACACTACTCTATATTCAGTTTGAAGGCTACTTCACATTTAAAAAAGAAAGGAGAGAAGTAGTCATATCAGGGAAACTGCCTCTCTTGTTCTGTTGTATTTTGTGCAGCTGAGCAGTCTCTAGACATCCCAGTCTTTTGGTCTCCACATGCTATATATCCCGCCACCAAAGTGGTGCAAGTTATGCTAACAGAAATATGGAAATACTTGTAAAAAGAGTGATGTGCTTTGCTGTTAGCTACCAGGCATCTTAGTAGTTAAAATGTATTGTTCTGAGTACCTGAGTAGCCACCAGGTATCAAAGAAGAGAATCTCCTGTCTGTCCCTCTGCCCTTCCCCCCTGAGGAGTCCTTCTGATGCTGTTGGAGTACACAGAATGGCCACATGTGTGTCTGTGAGGTACAGGGGTGGAAAGTTCCCCTTGCTTTCTATGTCCTTTGTTCCTCTCGGTGATTTTGTTGTGTTTAAGGTTCATTGCAAATGAAAAAATGGAAATAGTTTTTTGATAGATTGAAAATTTACCCTTACAAAGGCACCTTTTGCTTTTTGTGGAGCAAAGACATTCAGACATTTAAATCCTAAAACTTGTGCCAGGACTAACTGAAGATTTATTTTTTTAAAGGCAAATAGATTTATTTTTTAAAAAGGCAAATATGTATTTTATAAACAGATCTGATAGAGGGTCTGGGACTCTGCTTATGTGACTTGAAGTAGAACAACAATGACTTTCTTTATTTTTTTATTGCAATAATAAATACTATACCGGTATGTGTTAAAAGAGACAGAAAGGAGCATATAAAGAAACTAAAAATGGCTTGATTTAAATCTTCTTTGCTGCGCATAATTGTAAAAACCAGAATTCTGTGACCTAATCCTGCTGATTTTTTCCTTTTAAATATTCTACCTTTCTTTTGAATGAGAGGCAGATATGCGACATCTGCTCTCAGCAGCTGAAAGAAATGGTGCCATAGATGTTGAATGAATTCATGTTCCCAACACAGATGTCATGTCTTGAGTACTCCCACATATTTCAGACTGTTATAATTTATGTTGTTCTTTCGTATTTATTGAGGGCTCAGAGACTTAGAATGATGGAGACTATCAGTTTTAACAGTGGTGTAAGTTTGAGATGCTGCTACCAGTTGAGCCACAGGGCCTCTTTGCTAGTCCCACCTGGTAGATTTTTACATTCCATGTATGTATGCATGGAAGAAAACAGCACTAGATTCTTGCACACTACTGCTAACATGCAGGTGAATAGAGAACTTGAGAAAATGGAATTGGGCTATTTACTGACATTGTATCTCAGCCTTCATGTAATGGGTTTAAGCAAAATCTTACAATAAATGGTGCATTCATTTGCTTGTTTCAGTGTCAGGAATACATATAAAATAGAGTTAAAACACAACTGCCTTTGGTTTTTAAAATTACATTGAAAGTTTATCTACTGTTGTATCTATTTATTCCCTGTTCAACTACAATTCAGGAACATTTTGTCACTCCATTTATATCGAAGCATCATAACAGTAGAGTGAGGCAAGACAGCATGATTCTTCACTGTTGAATAATCATTCAGGCACTCTTATCTGAAAAGCATACAGAAATAAACATTTTAGGGAGATAATTTAGTTTTTGTAGATAAGCTCTGAGAAAGAGGAAAGAAAAATTCCTTCTCACAAGCAAAATGCAGTTCCAGTGCCACATTGTTGTTGAGGCTTTTGTTCTAGTTCATAGTCACAATGGCCTTGGTGCCAATAATAGAGCAGAGATGGAGCAGATAGCAAGATTTTGTTTGTATTGATTAAAGAAGATCGATTCTGAGAAATTATAACAATGTTGGCATAAGTCACTCCTCCCAAGTTGTCTGAGGTGAAGTAAAAAGCAAGAACATGGCAGAATCAGGCTCTACTTGCTTTGTCTGACAGCCAAAAGAGGGGTATATCTATAGAAGCAGATAAAAAAATGTATAGAATACGTGAGAATGTATTTCCACATCTAAAGATAAAGTCATAGGCATTCAAAACAGAAATATATTGAAATATCTTGTTTATTTTATTACATCTATAAACTTGTTGTCAGGTCTTGATTCTTCTTTGTCTTGTTCCCTGTTTTGTAGCAAGCTCTGTAGTAGCAAGCAGTTGAAGAGTACACTTTACCATTAATCTCCAGGTATGATTATTTCTGTTTTCTTTCCTGTGTCTAGCTCACCATTAATTTAATAGAATGAGGGT